ACACACACACACACACACGCCCACACACACACACCCACACACACACACACACACACACACACACACACACACACCCACACACACACACACACACACCTACACACACGCCTACACACACACCCAGCACACACACATACACACACACGCCTACACACACACACTACACACACTCCAACGACAAGATACACTCCTAGATTCTCTGTATTGTTTGCACACACACGCACACATGTCATCGGCTAGCTCACACGCCTTTTCGCCCGGCTAACACACACACACACACACACACACACGTCCAAGTACACTGTTTTGTTATATACAAGTACATTTAAGGACATGGATAAATATACACCTGTACGTAAGTGTTCTCTCTCTCTCTCTCTCTCTCTCTCTCTTCTCTCTCTATTTATATTCAAGCAAAAAGACAAGACAGTTCATGATGGGGGAGTGAAACAGTTACAGGGGAGAATGGGGGAGATGAAGAGGGTAAGATGGGGGAGGTGGAGATAAAAGGTCAGGTGGGGAGGGAGGAGATGATCAGAGTGGGGAAGAGGGGAAGAGGGGAGACGGAATGAAAGGTTGGGATAGGAAGGGGAAGAAGATGGTAAGGTTGGGGTGGGGGGAGATAAGAGTCAGATGGGGGGAGGAGAGGGGGTGGGGGGGGGAGAGGGAGATGGGAGGGTAGAATGAGGGTCAGTAGGGGGAGGTGGGGAGGGGGAGCTACTGACATGACGATCATTGGCCTGTTAGTCCCTGCCTTGAGGGTGGTGGGTGGGGGGGGGTGACAGGTGTCAATGAGGGGAACGTGGAAGGGAAAGGGAGAAGATGAAGAGAAGGAAGAGGAGGATGAGCCGTGGAGTAGTGATAAATGTGAAGGAAGAGGAGAAAAAAGAAAGAGGAATTGGAGGAAGCATACCGGGAATTAAAAAACAAGAGACAGTCACTCCACGCCCACACAGTCACCCACGCCCACACAGTCACTCCACGCCCACACAGTCACTCCACGCCCACAGTCACTCCACGCCCACACAGTCAACCCACGCCCACACAGTTACTCCACGCCCACACAGCTTCCACGTCACACAGTCATCCACGCCCACACAGTCACCCACTCCACAGTCACTCACGCCCACAGTCATCCACGCCCACACAGTCACTCCACGCCCACAGTCACTCCACGCCCACACACAGTTACTCCACGCCCACACAGTCTCTCCACGCCCACACAGTCACTCATGCTCCACACAGTCACCCACGCACAGTTCTCCACGCTGACATAGCCTCACGCCACAAACTCACCCCACGCCCCACAGCTACTCCGCCCACACAGTTACCCACGCCCACGCAGATTCCAAGCCCAAACTCACCCCACGCCCACATAGCTACTCCACGCCCACACAGCTACTCCCGCCCACAAACTCTCACGCCCACAGCAACCCACCCACACAGTCACCCCACGCCCACACAGTCGCCCACGCCCACACAGTCACCCCGCCCACACAGTCACTCCACGCCCACACAGTCACTCCACGCCAACACAGCCACCCACCCCACACAGCTATTCCACGCCCACAAACTCCACCCCACGCCCACACAGCCATTCCACGCCCACAGCCACCCCACGCCCACACAGTCCACGCCCACACAGTCACCCACGCCCACACAGTCACTCCCACGTCCACACAGTCACCACGTCCACACAGTCACTCCAAGTCCACACAGTCAATCCACGCCCACACAGTCACCCACGCCCACACATTCACCCACGCCCACACAGTCACCCACGTCCACACAGTCACTCCCATATCCACACAGTTAATCCACGCTCGCCAGTCACCCACGCCCACACAGTCACCCACGCCACACAGTCATCCCTCCTCTGTCCTGACTACCCTCCCTCCTTTTTCACTCACTCTTTCTTCCCGACGCCAGCAGCTCAGCCGCCCATACAGCAGCCGCCCCTCACCAGCCGTCACCCACCCGGCCACCCCAGTCATCCACCCACCTAGTCATCAGCCCACCCGGCCACCCTCTTCCAGCTTTACGGGCCACGAGATCTGTTGGTTGGCCCATAAACTTGGGCGGCCCCAAACTCGACCCCGCCCACAGGCCCCGCCCACCGCCTTCCCGCCCCGCCTCCTCCATGTTCCAGCCACGGCATGACCAACCACTGTGTGCTCTCTCTCTCTCTTCCACCTAATCTTGGGGCCTGGTTAAGGTTTCTGAAGTACGCCATGGCGTAGGGGCCCTGGATTTGCGCCCGCCCCATTCAGGGTCTGTATGAGGTTAAGTTAAGCAATGTTTGTATTGTCTCAACAGTTTGATCTCCCACGATCATTAAATTTCAAAGATGTTGTGAATATCTTTGCAACACTGAAGTCAACTAAGACAACTGGTGTAAATGTATATGAGTTCTCTACCCATGTACGTCATTGTCAATATTATTGTTCTCATGAATAAAGCTAATATAATACTGTGTTCACGTTATGTGTACTAATTTTATCAACTTGTGCTGAATTATAAATTATAAATAAAGAAATGTTTCCAGTAGGTAATCAATCATATTTTAATTTACTGAATACTCGAGGGCGCTGCCTGTGTAGGGCCCCTAACTTTTAACCAGGCCCTGGCTAATCTCTCTCTCTCTCTCTGTTTCAGCATGTCATCATACTCCTCTCTCTCTCTTCTCTCTCTCTCTCTGCCTCTCTCTCTCTCTTGTTTCAGCATGTCATCTGCTCTCTTCTGTTTTCAGCATTGTCACGCTACCTCTCTCTCTCTCTCTCTCTCTGTTTCAGCATGTCCTGCTACCTCTCTCTCTCTCTCTCTGTTTCATGTCACTGCCTCTCTCTCTCTGGTTTCAGCATGTCCTGCTACCCTCTCTGCTCTGCTGTCTCTTCTCTCTCTCTCTCTGTTCTGATCATGCTGCTATCATCTCTCTGTTCTAGTATGTCTCTCCCTCTGTTTCAGCATGTCACTGCTATCTCTCTCTCTCTCTCTTCTCTCTCTCTCTCTGTTTCAGCATGTTTCTCTCTCTGTTTCAGCATGTCACTGCATCTCTCTCTCTCTCTCTCTGTTTGCATGTCACTGCTACCTCTCTCTCTCTGTTTCAGCATGTCACTGCTACTCTCTCTCTCTCTCTCTCTCTCTCTCTCTGTTTCAGCATGTCATCAGTATCTCTCTCTTTCTCTCTCTCTCTTCTCTCTCTCTGTTTCTTCTCTCTCTTCTCCTTTCTGATCAATTTTTTCTTCCATGTTTCTCTCTCTTTCTTCTTTCGTCTTCCTATCCTCATTCTCAATCTCTTCTTCTTTTCTTCCCTAACCCCTTCCCCATCATCTTGATCCCTCTTCTTCCCTATCCTCCTCTACCTCTCCTCTAGCCTTCTAATCTTCCTCCACCTCCCGTTTCACATCTTCCTCTCCTTCCCCCCTCCCTCCTCAGAGATTAATGACGTCATCGTGGTCACAAATGTCCTCTGTCTTCACAACTGACGACGATGAGATATTAAAACCTTTCTTTCCTGATTTCCAAGCACCACCTCCTGGCCTATCCTGGCCTAAACCTCCTGCTTAAACTTTGGTTTAGTTAGGTTAGTTGGACAAGGTTAGGTTAGGTTAGGTTGTTACAAGGTTAGGTTTTGGTTGTTAGACAAGGGGTTAGGTTAGGTAGGTTAGGTTAGACAAGTTAGGTTAGGTTAGGTTAGTTTAGGTTAGACAAGGTTAGTTTAGTAAGTGTTAGTATAATCTTAAGGCTAAATAAACTAGTGGTCGTAATCTGTAAGTGATTCTATTATTAGCACTAACTCTTCTAAACTACCATCACAAAACATCTTACAGTCTGAACAACTACAGCGCCTACTATTACAAATACCAAACTAAACAAATACATCAACTCATAATCATCAACCCATTTTAAAAAGACGATAAAAACACCCATCCATTGTCACCCATTCAGTACCCTCATTAACTCCTATAGTCGGTGATAAGGTGTTCAAGGTATTTATCCAATCTCTCATTTAATAGACTCTAAGGTAGATAGCGGCAACAACAGGTAAAGTGGTTCACCTTCTTGAGTTACTTAACGTAATTTCTCAAGTTACTTATTAGGTACATTATTTGTGTTTTATTATTGTTGTTGTTGGTCTTATCGATACACCAGACCACATCTCCGTAATACAACACGACAATTAACCCATTAGGAGTCTGTAGTACGATCATTAAACTCGTGTTGGTAGCCAAACAAAGTTCATCCCACGTCTGGCAGCGGCGACCCAAACTTCCGCAACCCGAAACCGCTTTATGAAGACGCCAATTTAAAAGTGTGGTCGGATATTATTGCTAATTAGCCCTAACAACACCATGTAAAGTTGGGGACTTGAGAGGAGGGGAGGAGAAACAGGGTGAGGGGAAGGTAAGAAGGTTGGGGGAAAGTGAGAGAGAGTGGGGGTAAGAAGGGTGGGACGATGAGGAAGAGAGGAGGGTGAAAGGAAGAGGGAAGAGAGAAGTAAGGAAGGATGGACGGAGGGAGAGGATGAAAGGAGGTAAGGTGCAGGTAAAGAAGGAAACATAACGTACATATATATATACACTGTACGATGGATTGAGGAAGATCTCATTTCTTACTTCCTTTAATCATCACTCTCTCTCTCTCTCTCTCTCTCTCTCTCTCTCCTCATCCATCTTCCCTGGGTGGCAAGTTCAGCATGTTAACTGGCTCTGGGTGGGTGTAGAGGAGGAGAGAAAGGAGGAGGAAGGAGGAAGGGAGGAACGTGGTCTTACTAGATAAAGACCCTTTACGTGGAGCTAAGGAAAGAAAAAACAACCAAACAAACAAACAGAGAGAAGAGAGAGAGAGAGAGAAGAGAGAGAGATTAAATGCGTCCGTCATCTTGGTTCATTATCACTAATTCGATTTCTTTCTTTCTTTCTTTCTTTCTTTCTTTTCTTTCTTTCTTTCTTTTTCTTCCTTGTTTATCTCTGTAACTCTCTTCATCATTTACAGTAGCGTTAAGAGTCATAGCGAGAATAAAAGAATGGACAGAGGTGATATTGAGTGTCTCTAACACCAATAGAGCCAATATAGAGCAATATAGAACCAATATAGAGCCAATAGAGGCCAATATAGAGACCAATAGAGCAATATAGAACCAATATAGAGCCAATAGAGTCAATATAAACCAATAGAGCCAATATAGAACCAATATAGGCAATAGAGTCATATAAATAGGCAATATTGAGCCAATAGAGCATGTAAAGCCTGGCCAATAAAGCCAATGAGCCAATAGGCCAATATAGAACCAATAGAGCCAATATAGAGCCAATATAGAACCAATATAGAGCCAATAGAGCCAATATAGAACCAAAGAGCCAATATAGAGCCAATATAGAGCCAATGGGGCCAATATAGAGCCAATAGAGCCAATATAGAGCCAATATAGAGCCAATAGAGCCAATAGAGGCCAATATAGAGACCAATAGGGCAATAGAGCCAATATAGAACCAATAGAGCCAATATAGAGCCAATATAGAACCAATAGGAGCCAATAGGGCAATATAGAACCAATAGAGCCAATAGAGCAATATGGAACCAATAGAGCCAATAGAGCCAATATAGAACCAATAGAGCCAATATTGAGCCAATAGAGCCAATATAGAATAATAAAGCCAATATAGAGCCAATATAAAGCCAATAGAGCCAGTAATAAAGCCAATATAGAGCCAATAGAGCCAATATACAGGCAATAGAGCCAATATAGAGCCAATATAAAGCCAATGGAGCCAATAAAGCCAATATTGAGCCAATAGAGCCAATATAGAGCCAATAAAGACAATATAAAACCAATAGAGCCAATAAAGCCAATATAGAGCCAATATAAAGCCAATAGAGCCAATAAAGCCAATCTAGAGCCAATAGAGCAAAAAGAGCCAATATACAGCCAATGTAGCCAATAGTGCCAATATAGAGCCAATAGAGCGCCAAGAGAGCCAATAGAGCGTCAAGAGAGCCAAAAGCGCCAAGAGAGCCAACAGAGCGTCAATAGAGCCAATTGGGTGAGGAAGGAGGTGCTTCAGTGGCGGAAAGACAAATGATTCGGTGTGTGGCAAAAACCTGATTGACCGAGGGAGGGAGGGAGGGAGGAGGAGGAGGAGGAGGGAAGGAGGGAGGGAGGGAGGAGGGGGAGGAAGGAGGGAGGAGGGAAGGAAGGGAGGAAGAGGGAGGGGAAGGAGGAGGAGGGAGGAGGAGGAGGGAAGGAGGAGGGAGGGAAGGAAGGAGGAGAAGGAAGGGAGGAGGAAGAAAGAATGAGGAGAAAAGAAGGAAGAGTGGGGAGGGGAGGGAGGGGAGGGAGGGAAGAGGAGAGAGAGAGAAAGATAGGGAGCTTTTAGAAGGGAGGACTCTAATCCCCCTCACACTAATCTATCTCACCCCCATTCCCCCTCACCCTCACCCCTCACCATCTCCTTCACCCTCACCCCTCCCCAATCTCCCTTTACCCCACCCTCTCACCCCATCTCCCGTCACCCTCACTCCCCAATCTCCTTTCCCACCCTCTACCCCATCTCCCGTCACCCCACCTCTCACCCCATCTCCCCGTCACCCCACTCCTCCCGAACGTCCAAGGTGATCTAGAAGGATTTATGGTTCACGCTGGCCGGATTAATCGTTCTTGGTGAGGATTAGTCGTGAGAGGATTAGAAGAGATACCTTGGGTAAGGATTAGACGCTAGAAAAGATTGGAAAACGTGAATCATGGAAGGATTAGTCGTGAGAGGTGGAGAGGATTAATTAGACGATGATTCGACACAAATAAAGATTCGAGACTACACGAATCACCACTGCTGGGTAGGATTAATGACGTCACAATGGCTGAATTTTTTCCATCGAGCCGGATTAATCGTCTCATGGTGCCGGATTTTTTCTCCATAGCCGGATTGACCACCTCATTATGGCCGGATTTCTACTACCAAGCCGGATTAATCACCTCATTAAGGTCAAGTTTCTGCTACCGACGGATTAATCGTCTCATTGGGCCGGATTTTTTCTACCGAGTTGGATTAATCGTCTCATGGGGCCAGATTCCTTCTATTGAGTCAGATTAATCGTTTCATGTGGTTGATTTCTTGACCAAGCCGGATTAATCACCTCTCGAGGTCGCCCGTAAGGATGAATAATGCAAATGGATATAAATCGCTCAGGAGAGATTTCTTCTTAATAAACGAGGACGGTTTTTACCACCCACCACCACCACCACCACCACCCACCGCCACCGCCACCACCACCACCACCGCCACCACCACCACCACGCCACCACCACCACCACCACCGCCACCACCACCACCACCACCACCACCACCACCACTACCGCCACCACCACCACCACCACCACCACCACCACCACCGCCACCACCGCCACCACCACCACCCACACCACCACCCACCACCACCACCACCACCACCCTTCGTTCATTCATGTGACTCTTCATGGATACAGTGTTAGTACAGGAGGACACTGTAGTACCCGCATGGATACAGTGTTAGTACAGGAGGACACTGTAGTACCCGCATGGATACAGTGTTAGTACAGGAGGACACTGTAGTACCCTTATGGATACAGTGTTAGTACAGGGAGACACTGTAGTACCCGCATGGATACAGTGTTAGTACAGGGAGGACACTGTAGTACCCGCATGGATACAGTGTTAGTACAGGAGGACACTGTAGTACCCGCATGGATACAGTGTTGGTACAGGAGGACACTGTAGTACCCGCATGGATACAGTGTTAGAACAGGAGGACACTGTAGTACCCGCATGGATACAGTGTTGGTACAGGAGGACACTGTAGTACCCGCATGGATACAGTGTTGGTACAGGGAGGACACTGTAGTACCCGCATGGATACAGTGTTAGTACGGAGGACACTGTAGTACCCGCATGGATACAGTGTTAGCACAGGAGGACACTGTAGTACCCGCATGGATACAGTGTTAGTACAGGAGGACACTGTAGTACCCGCATGGATACAGTGTTAGTACAGGAGGACACTGTAGTACCCTGTGGATACAGTGTTGTTAGTACAGGGGAGGACACTGTAGTACCCGCATGGATACAGTGTTGTACAGGGCACTGCTAGTACCCGCATGGATACAGTGTTAGTACAGGGGACTGTAGTACCCGCATGGATGCAGTGTTAGTACAGGAGGACACTGTAGTTCCCGCATGGATACAGTGTTGGGTACAGAGGACACTGTAGTACCCGCATGGATACAGTGTTAGTACGGAGGACACTTAGTACCCGCATGGATACAGTGTTAGTACAGGAGGACATGAGTACCCGCATGGATACGGTGTTGGTACAGGTACACTGTAGTACCCGCATGGATACAGTGTTAGTACAGGAGGACACTGTAGTACCCGCATGGATACAGTGTTAGTACAGGAGGACACTGTAGTACCGGATGGATACAGTGTTAGTACAGGAGGACACTGTAGTACCCGCATGGATACAGTCAACCTTCTCATATGTGACCCACGCCGGGGACTGAACCCAGGACACTAAGTGAGAACCAAGCTCGTTAATCCCTATAACACAGTGGTTCTCAACCTTGTTTGCCCCATGCACCCCTTTCACCATATGTCAGAATGTCATTCCCCCCTCCTTTCCAAGATTGTCTGCCTCAAAAAGTGCATTCCAAATAATATGCATATAATACTGAAAATCCTTTATTTTTTCCATATTAGTACATATACATTTACAATTTTACATGGATTATTTTTTATAGTGGAGTTTTACAAATTAAATGCCAATTGAAAATGTTGATGGATTTATAAAACCTGAATAAAAAGTAAAATAGTTTTTATTTATAATAGATTATAATAGACCAAACTGAAGCATAATGCAATAAACAAAAGTTCAATAGAATACCAGGATATTGTAAATTTGTAATTAATTTTATTCAGATGAAGATTACAGTCAATGAGAAACCTGTGATTGTTTTTTTCCTTGAATTCTGGGATACGCGGAGGAGTGCTTGAGGAGCACAACGCAGGTCATTTTCTACTTCTAATCTACTACGTTGCTTCGCTTTAATTTGCAACAGAGTTGAAAAGCCTGACTCACAAAGATATGTCGACACAAACGGAAGCAATGCACGGATAGCTCTTTCTGCCACTTTTGGGTAGGAATCGCACATCAAGGGCAAATTCTGTGATTGATTTCTCATCGAACACTCTTGCTCCCGAATCAGTTTCCCCCACAAACCTGAATTCCCCTGAAATGTAATTCCCCCTGTTGAGAACCCCTGCTGTAACACCTCGTTTAGAGAAAGGATTGACTTCAACAGAATAATTGTATGGGATTAACCTAACCTAATCTAATCTAACCTAACCTAACCTAACCTAACCTAACCTAACCTAACCTAATCTAACCTAACCTAACCTCAAACTACCTAATCACGTTATGCTAACAACCCTTAACTACCTAATCACCATAACACAAACAACCTCAAACTCATAATCACTTTACACTAACAACCCTTAACTACGTAATCACCTTAAATACGACTAATAACCCTGAACTACCTAATCACTTCCTACCCCAAACAACTCTAAAACCAGCCAATTAATGACCAGATCTGACAGCCTCATCTCCCCCTCATAATCCCTGACCGAATCTCTCTATCTCCTCCTCTCTCCTCTCTACCTACCTTCTCTCCCTCTCATTTGCCTCCCCTCTCTCCCTCGTTCTATCTCACCCATCTCCTCATTCCCCCTCTCTCTCTCTCTCCTCCTCCCGCTCTCCCTTCTCTCCCCTCTCTCTCTCCGTCCCTCTCACTCACTTTCTCCCTTCTCCCCCACCCCGTGGCCAACCAACCAATCAGAAGCAAGCAGATGCCTACCACATAATCGCAGTACCAGTGAAGGAGAGGAGAGAGAGAGAGAGAGGGTGGGGACAGAATATAAGGGGTGAAAGAAGAAAGGGGGAAAATAGGAAAGGAAGAAGACGAACAGGAGGAGGAGGAAGAAGAAAAAGAGGAAGAGAAGGAGGAAGACTACGAACAGGATATGAATGAGGAAGAGGAATAAGAAAGAGGAGGAGAAAGAAGAAGAAGAAAAAGAGGAAGAGAGGAAGAAGACGAGGAAGAAAGAAGAGGAATAGAAGTAGGAAGAAGACGAACAGGAGGAGCAGGGGGAGGAGGAAGAGAATATAAATACCATCTTGGTAATAAACCTCAACATCCAAATTCTTCAAGACAGCCATAATTTTTCCCGTGTATGAGGAACCCACCAAATATATATTGTAAATTTAAACTCAAAAGCCATAATTTACACATATTAAAATCTTATCACAATTTTAAAACCAAAACACAATATCCAGGATCCACCAGTGTCACCACCCCTGAATGTCACCCCACTCCACCAATGTCACCCCCACCAATGTCACCCCCACACCAATGTCATCCCCACCAATGTCACCCCCACACCAATGTCACCCCCTACCAATGTCACCCCCACCAATGTCACCCCCATCAATGTCACCCCCACCAGTGTCACCCCCACCAATGTCACCCCACCCACCAATGTCACCCCACCAATGTCACCTCCACCAATGTCACCCCCACCAATGTCACCCCACCAATGTCACCCTCCCCCACGTCTAAAAAATAAGTATTTATTGAGGTAGTTTTATTACCTGAGGTTAAGACACACTTGATGGAAAAATATCCCTCAAGAGTGAAATGTATCTTCCATCAGTCAGGTCAGGAAGGAGTAAAACTGAGCTGACTAGAACAGGTATGTTGTCTTCATAAATTATATACTTCATGTGTCTCTACGGTATATATAACTGAAATGAATAAGTAATAAAAATATACATATAAATATATATATATATAATAATATACATTATAATACAACAATAAAAATAAAAATAAATAAATATCATCATTTAACCACAAAACAACATACTGTACTCACCACTTAAACACGCCCATATCTCTTACTGGTATGTGTGTGGACTTGGGCGTGTATGGGCGTGTGTGTGGACGTGTGTGGGCGTGGTGCAGAAACACAAGTCAACTTACCTGTGGAGAGAAAAATAATATTAAATATTTAAAAAAAACTAAAGAGAAGGGAGGAGAGGGTGAGGAGAGGGTGAGAGGGGGTGAGGAGGGGGAGAGGTGAGAGGAGGAGGTGAGGGAGGGGTGAGAGGGAGGTGAGCGGTCATTGGGTCATTACCTGAGGTGTAATCAAGGTGTTTCTGACCTTAAGCATCAGCTGATAAGGTCACAACACACTTAAGTAATAGTTAAAAGGCAAGTGATACACACACACACACACACACACACACACACACACAACAACAACAACAACAACAACACACACACACACACACACACACACACACACACACACACACACACACACACACACACACACACACACACACACACACACACACACACACACACACACACACACGATATTATGAGGTGTCAGGTATTGCATATGATGCACTAATAATACGCAGCCAATCGTCCCTTCCTCACTCTTCACTTCATCCTTTCCTTATTCCTCACTTATCCCCAGCTTCCCTTTTCCCCCTCAACTCATCCCTCCCTCCCTTACCCTCACCCATCCCTCCTTACCTAACTCCTCCCTACCCTCATCGCTCCCTCCCCTTACCTCACCCCTCCCTCCCTACCTCACCCCTCCCCCTCCCTTACCTCGCCCCTCCCTACCTGACCCCTCCCTCCCTTACCTCACCCATCCTTACCTCACCCATCCCTCCTTTACCTAACCCTCCCTCCCTACCTCATCGCCCTCCCTACTCCTCACCCTCCCTCCCCTACCTCATCGCTCCCTCCCTTACCTCACCCTCCCCTTACCTCCACCCCTCACTCCTTACCTCATCGCTCCCTCCCTTACCTCACCCTCCCTCCCTTACCTCATCGCTCCCTCCCCACCTCATCGCTCCCTCCCTACCTCACCCCTCCCTCCCTTTACTCTCACCCCTCCCTCCCTACCTCACCCATCCTACCTCGCTCTCCCTCCTTACCTACCCTCCCTTCCCTTACCTCATCGCTCCCTCCCTTACCTCACCCCTCCTCCCTCCCTTACCTCACCTCCCTCCCTTACCTCACTCCCTCCCTTACCTCACCTCTTCTCCCTCACCCTCCCTCCCTCCCTACCTCACCCATCCCTTCCTTACTCTCACCCCTCCCTCCCCCTACCTCACCCTCCTCCTACCTCATCGCTCCCTCCTCTACCTTACCCTCCTCCCTCCCTTACCTCACCCTCCCTCCCTACTCCTCACCCCTCCCTACTCACCCTCCTCCCTACCTCACCCCTCCCTCCCTACCTCACCCCTCCCTCCCACTCACCCCTCCCTCCCTAACCTCACTCCCTCTCTTAGCTCACCTCTCCATCCCTACCTCACCCCTCCCTCCCTTACCTCACCCTCCCTCCCTTACCTCACCCCTCCCTCCCTACCTCACCCCTCCCTCCCTACCTCACTCCTCCCTACTTACCTCACCCTCCCTACTCCTCACCCTCCCTCCCTACCTCACTCCCTCTTAGCCTCACCTCTCCATCCCTTACCTCACCCCTCCTCCCTACCTCACCCCTCCCTCCCTACCTCACCCCTCCCTCCCTACCTCACCCTCCCTCTCCCCACCTCACCCCTCCCTCCCTTACCTCACCCCTCCCTCCCTACCTCATCGCTCCCTCCCTACCTCACCCCTCCCTCCCTTAACTCCACCCCTCCCTCCCTACCTCACCCTCCCTCCCTTACCTCACCCTCCCTCCCTTACCTCACCCTCCTCCCTACTCCTACTCTCCCTACTCTCACCCTCCTCCCTTACTCTCACCCTCCCTCCCTACTCCCACCCCTCCCTCCTCCCTTACCACTCCTCACCCTCCTCCTTACTCACTCCCTCTCTCTTAGCTCACCCTCCCTCTCCCTACCTCACCCTCCCTCTATCCCTTCACTCACCCCCTCCCTCCCTCTCTACCTCACCCTCCTTCCCTACCTCCCTCCCTCCCTTACCTCACCCTCCCTCACCTCACCCTCCCTCCCCTACCTCACCCCTCCCTACCTCACCCCTCCCTTACCTCACCCCTCCTCCTTACCTCCTCACCCTCCCTTACCTCACCCTCCCCCTTACCTCACCCCTCCCTACCTCACCCTCCCTCCCTTACCTTCACCCTCCCTCCCGGTACTATAGGTAGTTGAGGTGATTTACAGGCCATTAGTATAGTCATTAGTTAATGGTCGACCCAACACACTGTGTGTGTGTGTGTGTGTGTGTGTGTGTGTGTGTGTGTGTGTGTGTGTGTGTG